ATGGATGTGGCCATCACACAGATCAAAAGGTCATCCCTGAGTTTCATACATTTTGTAGAGTTATACAAGAGGCTCCTTTTGTCTAGGAGTATGATTCTTGCTTTGGGTGTGAGAGGTCCCGGGTTCAAATCCCGGATGAGCCCTAGATACACTCAGTGTTGAGATGTGTTTTTGCCAAGTATGAATAACACATAAATGAAGTGGGAAAAAAAAAAAACTGACAAGTTGGAGTTTCCTTCACACACAGCCTATTATTCATTTGATAAAGACCCAGGAAAAACATTCTCTTTCAGCCGACTCCCAATTACATTGAACCCACAGAACTTTAACATGAACAGTCGGTTAGTGAAACATCTCCACGTTTGCTAGTAGATAATACCAGATGAAAAGGTCATCCTTGAGTTTCATTATTTTTGAAGTCTAAAACAAGAGGCTCGTTGGTCTAGGAGTATGGTTATCTCTTTGGGTGCAAGAAATGCCGGGTTCAAATCCCAGACAAGCCCAGCTTTCACTGCTAAAAAGTACTTGTTCTAAAGTCACTTATCACTAGAAGTCCCAGAGAAGGGTCATTTAACATTTCTACCTTTGGAACCCAGAGATGGGTCGAGTGACCTGAAGGATTTTAGCTAACATTGTATAATGAGTTGTGAACAGCATCTTTTGTTTTGTAAATAAGGTTTTCCAGGTCCAACTGTGAGCAAAGACCAGAAGCATTTGTATCTAAGTCAAGAGGACTTAAATTTCAGCATGAGACATATTCAAAAGGACAACTGTTATTAGTTTCCATGCTTTTTATTTTTGTCAGAAAAAATATACAAAAAAATACAAAAATACAAGGAATAAAACAATTTCACACATATTTACACTAAGCGCGTGTGTGTGTGTGTGTGTGTGTGTGTGTGTGTGTGTGTGTGTGTGTGTGTGTGTGTGTGTGTGTGTGTGTGTGTGTGTGTGTGTGTGTGTGTGTGTGTGTGTGTGTGTGTGTTTGCGTGTGTGTGTGTGTTTGCGTGTGTGTGTGTGTTTGCGTGTGCGTGCGTGCGTGCGTGCATGCGTGTGAGTGAGTGAGTGCATCAGTCTGCACTGTCGGAACATACCTGGCACTGCCAGGTATGACTCTGGTACATTTGCCACATGTATATTTGTAGCAGTCAACACATCTCACAGTTGCATAATTGTTTGTGCATCAATGGTTGACCTGACACTTTTGCCAGGGCTGGGTGTGGAAGGTTTTAGCCAAAGCAGTTTCTCCTTGCGTGCCTTCTTCTCACTCACATGACCGTCACCCAACTCTTTTGCAAGCTCAACCAGGAAGTTCACCCGTCTCTCCTGCACCCCAATGCATGCCTGATAAAGCACATGTGCATTCAGTGCTGCCATGTCAATCATGTTGTAGAACACGGCGACTGGCCATCTCCGTGTTCCTGCACGCACGCTGTACTCCCGCACCATTTGGTCCATCACATCCACAATGGCCTTAGCCATTGGCTCTCCAGCTGTGGCGTAAGGTTCTATTGGAGTGATATGGAGACACGTCCCCACCTGTTTTTCACACCACACAGTGCCATCTTTTGAGGTCTCTGTCAGCTCACTCTCCAACCGAGCTCTCTTTTTTGGTAGGCAGCCAGTGGAGACGCTGAAGAACAGGGCTGATGTGATCTCCATAGGGGGTACGAGTGATCCGTGCAGCAGCATTGTGGAGGAGTTGGAGCCGATGGAGGGATTTATGGGGGAGACCAAAAAGAGAGTTACAGTAGTCAGTCCTAGAAGTGACGAGGATGGCTGTAGCATGAGGAGTGAGAGAGGGACGGAGTTGGTTGATGTTGCGTAAATGAAAGTAGGCTGAGCGAATGATGTTATTGATGTGGGCTTTGAATGATAAAGTGCTGTCAAGGATGACTCCAAGACTCTTTACATGGGGCGAAGGAAGGATGGAGGAATGTGGATCTCATTGTTGATGCGCTCCAGGCAGCTGTGCCCTGCACACAGCCACAGTAACATTCTCAAAGTGGTGCCACCCAAAACATAATTAACACACAATCATTCATGCTCGGTCACATTCTCTGGTACTCTGTCTTTTACTGGTGCCTGACACACACTCGGCTCAGGTGACATCACCTCCGGTCAGTGGATCTCTTTGAACTGTTGAGTTTGAAAGTAACTCATGAGAAGAAAAAATAGGAAGCCATAGCAGTTTTTCAAGAGGAGATGCAGGAAGATCATCAAATAAAATACAAGAAAACAAAAAGTGCTTGGAAGGGTAAATGAAGGTAGATTTATCCCCATTACACATTTTACCTTTATAAATCAATAATTTATAAGCATGTAATATTTCTATATTTGATAAAATTCTGATCACCTTCAAATCTGAGTACCACACTCAGGGATGTGTCAAGGCATTAAAGGGGCCAAGGCAGGCTAGACCCACCACCCTCCCCCAGAAGTCCCTGTGTAATTCGTACCCTGAGGACGTCACATTGTATTGTTTTTTTGCTGTTTGAAAATAAGCTCTTTCTTGTCATCAAAATGTGTAAAATCCATGGGCATCATATGTGAAACTGATGGCACATCTCCAACATGATCACAAAAGAATGTTTAACCTCTCAGACTTCCATTCTTTTTTTGCATTTGGGGACTTGGGCTTGTGTCAACCATAATATCGGGCGCCTAAATCTCCTCCCCTTCCGGTTGGCTCATGGGGTCCCGGAACTAAGAAAAAATGAAAGTTATGTTGTGGTCCACTTTGCATTACACGTGTCACACATACTGTATGTTGTGCTTCAATTTGAATAATGAATAATGTGAGTTTTGACTATGTCTGTCACTTAGTTTAGATTTATTAGCTTGTAAAAATTCATAATTACAATCACAACAACCAGATATTCCATATGTGACGTCACAGCAGAATCCACCCCCCGGCGTAGCTGCTACTCACCACAGCCGGATTTATAGTTATTTTCTCCACGTTTGATGCTCCTTCTGTCATCCTGGAAGAAGGATGTGAAGCTTGCTAAACTCACAGCCATTTTTCTTCTCTTCTGCATGTCTCATTTGATGACAGTGAGATCAGCAGCTTGAAGTTCTCAACATTTTTTTTTCACACAAAACCTAAAATGACTTTTGCCACCGTTCAACAATAAACACTTTCTTGGCATCAAAATGTGTTTTTAAAATTTCTATGTGAAACCCATGGCACATATGAACGGGGACGTGAGAGATGAGAAACTGAATCTCTTCAGAGTAACCAACCAATCCTCAGTGGTTTCACACTGAGGGTCATTCTCTTCCATACAAGGTGAACTTTCTGCACACAGAGTTGCTGCATCAGCCACAACTGATCGGTTAGCCTCATGGTATGGAATCGTGCTAATTTCATTAAAATAACACGTGCCTCTGAGGTCAAAGGTTAGTCAGGAGGGTAAACAATGTCCTCCTGTTGTTACACCAGACTGAAATGCACAGTTGAGTCACAATTTTTAAGTTGTACTTATTCTAAACGGATTTATTACAGAAATACAACATTATATGATGTTCTTTCATAGAGACACTACATGTTGTATATGGTAGACACCACAGAAGCTGCATGAGGCTGATGCTGATTTCACAGCTGAAACAGCTTTGAGAACATAAATCAGTAATAATGAGGTTCAAGGCTGGTTGTCCTCCCGGTGCTTATTTGTGATTTATGGTTTTAATTCCATGTGCATGGCTTGTTTCACTGACTTGTTTGTGTTTTTCTTTCCATTGAACTTGTTTAGCATGTTTTCCTGTTTACAATAGGGTGACGACAACTGGGCAAATTATTGGTACTTTCTGGCTGAGGTCTGAGTGTTTTTAACTGTTTTTTTTTTGTTTTAATCAGATTGTCAATAAAGTTGTATATTTTGGAAGAAGTTCATCAGAGGTCCCAGTGAATCCTTTGAACCTACGACCTTAGCATCTTGTGGGTAACCAGGCCATCCACTTGGTTGGGAAAAGCAATTTTCTGTTATGGATTTCTTGTCTTTGCCACACAGCTTTTGGGTTGATAAGTGCAAATTCTCCTCCAGTATTTTATAAGCTGCTGCTCTTCGTTTTCAGAGCTCTAACACTGCTGATTGAAATTATCAGTATCTTGGACATTTTTATATCCATTTCCTGATTATAGAGTCTAGTCCATAAACATTGATAGACCGTGCATGACTGCTGCTGCCTATGGGTGCAGTTAGTTCCGACCGAGTGATCTGATTGGTCAAGAGACTTTCCAAGCGTGCTGATATAGGAGTATAACAGCACAGGGACTGTTTACAAATAATATCACTCTGCTGTGCAGAGGTGTTATCAATTACAGTTTTTTTTCGATTGCTAAAACGTGTTTTGCAAAACTGTACGTTTCTTTCAAAACTGCACACACAAAACCCCAAACATAACACACAATTTCCTAAACCGTGGCTTCCCTTTGCAACAAAACCCTGCCACCACATATTGTAACATTTTCTCAAAATGGAACACGTGTTTTCATTTGGTAAACACAGCCACATTTTCACATGACACACACATACCATTCATTGCTTAAACACAAGTAGCCTTTGGGTCAACACTACCAAGCATGGAAAGAACACTGAAGAGCAAAACTGAAAACACAATTGTCGAAAGGGAACACAATGAATTACACACTGAATGTATGATAGTGCCCACTTTTCTCTGAGACAAACATTAGACATCACACAAAATTTGAGACAAAACATTTTATTTTTACAGTTACCCCCCCCCCCCGTCCCCCCCCCCCCCCCCCCCCGTCCCCCCCCCGTCCCCCACCCCATTCAAGCATAATCATGGGGCATCATGCCTCTGGTCTCTGTCTGGCCAGAGGGCCTCATCAACATCACAGGCGATGTCCTCCTGGTCCGAACAGCTCTGGAAGTACCACCTCGAGTGCCTCATGAAGCCTTGACAAGCCTCAAAGGCCACATCTCTACAAGCCTCCTCCATGGCTTGAAGCAGTGGGACCTGGCTTTGTGGATTCCTTTCGTACACCTTCCACCTCCAGGCTGAGAAAAACTCCTCAGTGGGATTGAGGAAGGGGGAATAAGGTGGAAGGTATAAAATGGAAAACCGTGGGTGGTCCTGAAACCACTCATACACCTGGGTAGCCTTGTGGAAACTTACTTTTATGCTGCAGTCCCTGATTGCAAATTGCTCGCCACACCCGAAAGTTTAGAGATTTGAATATTTGTGTGTTGTTGATTGAAGCTTTGAGAATTAATGTGGAAAGTGTGTGTAAACCTGAAAATTGTGTGTTGTGTTTTGACAGCAAGGTAATGTGAAACTGACATCAGAGTGTAAAGGAGGAAAATCAGAGTTCTAATACGATACGGAAATCTTAAAGAGCAAGTAACGTCTAAATTAACTTTTTTTTACTGATAAACTGCATAAATGAGTGTCTAATAGTGTTTTAAATGTGTGCATCCTTTATTTTAGCATGTTGGTGCATTTTCTTTAAAAATTAAAAATTCTGTCTAAAAACCACAGTAATGTGCCACCTTCAGCTGAAAACATAGAATTTGAGTCATTTTGAATAAATTTTAGCCAATGGCTAAAGAGTAAAGTACTACGTAAACCAGTAGAGTACTACGTAGCAGCTCCGTGCCAAAGTTATAAAAGCAACGAGCGTCTCGGCCACGCCCTGTAGCGAGTGGGAGTTGGATTTGCAAGCGAGCGTAGGAGGTCAGCGGTAGTTCAGCATTAGCATATAGCATTAGCATATCCTAGTCTTTAGCATATCTTTTAGTGTTATAAATACTTATTTAGTGTTAGATTTGGCTGTTGGATATTGTAGTTTAGTTAGTGTTTGGCTGTTAGTGTAATTGGGAAAGTATTTTGGGTTTAGTGTTCCATATCGTCTTAATATTGGTGAGTAGGTGTAGTGTAGTATGCTTGCGGTGACTCTGTGGGCATTTTACCCGCGATTCTGCACGTCTCCGTTTGAAAAGGGAGGCTGCCCACCGTGGCTCTTCCGCGATTTAGATGCAGCCCACCGACTCTGCTCCCCCACCACGGCGGGCTCCAGTCTGAGGTGAGTACGCTATAAATGTTTTAACATCTTCTAAAGACAATTCCCTACCTAAATGCAAAGTCTGAGAGACGTGGTTCACTTCCTTTAGCTAGTCAGTCGGCAATTCTGCAACAGTGTCTAACTAACGCAGCACTAGTTGACAGACAGCATTACAGCGTGAAATCCAGCTTGTGACCCGGTTCTGTAAGGAATTCTGTTCAGGAGGTCACATTTCAGGCTCTCCACATCATGTGTGACTGACGTTTACGTTATAACAACGATCACACACTAGGAATGGTATAAAGCGCCTATATAGGAGATTCTTTTGTATGTTATCTGACTTTATAAACTCCCAACAACAATGTGCTTATATATTTTTTTCAGGCTAAATCTACCCAAGACACTGGCTGTCAGACTGATTTAGCTGCAAGAATGCACTTGTCCAGGCTGACATGAAGCCTTCCCTGTAGCAAAGGTGAATTATTTTTAATAATCTTCTATGTAAACATTTTATTATCACCTTCTAGTTTTAATTTGTTTTACAGATTATTGTTACACGTGATTTTATGCTCTTTTAAACATTTATAAATGTGCTGCTTCTTTGTTTTTACATAGCCAGCCAGAATGGAGTTCACAGCCGCAGTGTGTCTGGTGACCCACGGGGACCATGATAAAAATTCATCTTCCAGAAAGTCCCAGAGCAGCGGCCACACCCCCTGAAAAGACCAAGGTGTGAGGTGTCTGCTGTTGATTCCAGCTTCCACCTCAGTGACAGTGCAAGCTCAGTGAACTGTTCAAGGTAAAAAAAAAATTAAAACATTTCTGAATTTTTAAGATATTAACAATTAAATAAGTATGTGATTACATCATGACATCATGACGGAGGCTACTGATTCTGCCCCCGTGACACTTGGTGGTGACGTGTGAGCTGATTCACCTGGAAAACAACTTTTACATTAAATATTTTGTTTTTGCTATCAAAAGTAAATTAACTAATAACCTGCATTATTGCAGGACACTCAGCAAAATATGGACTCTACAACATGAGGCAGGCACACGTTAATAACTCTATAAGAGCACATAAGGTGAGCAACACCACATATTGTACACTGTCCTGAATTTGTTTTCTTTCTGCATCTCATCATTAGCCTGGCTGATCACCTGATAACTCCTGTCATCTGGTTATGACAGCATGAGGATGTCCTCACACACCTGTAACCTATCAGCTCATCTGGCAGAATAGAGAGAGAAGAGACAACACCACATCTCCTGTTCCTGGAAAGCCTTCAGCCATCCTTCGATGACTGAGAACCTCCATCAGCTCTGTCTCCTGTCTGCCTACAATTATTATAATAAATATTGTGTTTGACAAGTTTTTTTGTGCTGCCAAAAATCTCATAGATTCCAGTTTTGATATTTTAATGGATATTTATAAATTACATTAATTGAATTGTCACATTGTTGCATGTTTAACTAGCTCTATTGTGATGAATTAAACTAGCACCTCACTGTTAAAAGCTCGTTTTAATTTCAAGCATGTTTAAGTATTTATGGACATGAACAAAAACAGGAAATATATAAATTGAGATTTATTTAATTAATATAACAAATAAGGGGGAAAGAGTCATTGAAAGGCACATTCTGACAAACCCTGCAGCTAATCCAATGCTATGGATAACGGCTACTTACCGTTCAGAGGTGGTTATGTTGGGTCGGTTCTGGGAGTTTCAGGCAACTCACAAGCTCAAAACAATAAGGCTCAGGTCCGCTTGTCTCCTCCAAATAGACTTGGTCCCTTTCTTCTCGAGTGTCTGGGTAAGGAGGGGGAGAAACATCCTCCACTTCTAATAACTGCATAGAGTGAAGGGAGCTAGCATCGTCTAGTTAGCCGTCGTCTTCGTCACTGCCGCGGCTCCGCCCTCTCGGTCCTCCAGGCAACGCCTACTAATGTTGCATTTTTTTTAATTGATTCGTGGGTGGAGAAGGACTCCGAGGCTCAATTGACCCACTCTTTAAGTAGTGATAAATCGAGTCAACCGATTGGGAACAGAAGTAGAGGTTGTGAAAATTGTGCCTCATTTTTGTTTTTTGAGTTTTAGCAATCGAAAAAAAAAAACCTGTAATCATTAACGTAACTTCCGTTAACTCTTGGATTTTGACCGACTTCACACAGCAAAGATGGACATATTTCCTCAGATATCATTCGATCTACAATATGAATGGTCATCAGACTCTGACGCTGAAGGGAAGGAAAGTGGACCGAATAAATCAGCGCAAACCAGGTGTTATATATATATATATATATATATATATATATATATATATATATATATATATATATATATATAGACATATATATATATATATATATATAGACATATATATATATATAGACATATATATATAGACATTGTAATGGAAACAAAGTGATGTAACTATCTAAAGTTGTATTTTAATACACTGTTAGTAGTTCACTTTTATAAACAGAAGAATAGGCTGTTTTTATCATCAGGGAGTTTAATTAAACACTCTGTATTGACTTTGAGACAAGAAAAGAGAGAGATGGGATAGTTTGAGAATCTTTAATTTCTGAATTATAAATTCTAAACAATCTACCAGGACTACTCTGTGATGGATGAGAATGGATTCAGATGTTGTGTTGGTGCGTGTGTGTGTGTGTGTGTGTGTCTGGTTCAGATTCTCTAGGATGACGTAATCGAATCTGGTCGTCTTTGTTATGACTAGATATCACGAGGCTTATAAAGTGATGACATGAGCCGCTATTTTGCCGTGTACGTACCCAGTGGGGGTCTCCCAGGTAGATCAGGAAATGCCAGGTCTGGAAACCTCGGATGTACGATGGAGCTGTCGATGCAGCGATCACAACGTTTCAAAGCCCGTCTGGAGGGTCGACCCTGGTACCGTTCAGCGGCGTCAGCAGGTGCTCTTATTTTGAAAGGACGTCGTCTGGTTGTTAAACGACGAAAATCTCCCGTTTCACAGTTCTTAGTTTAAAGAAGAAAACACATCTGGACAGGCTGTGCTTTTCTTTAGGATGATGGTGAATAGAACTGAAGTCAAGATGGAACTGACTTAAAATGGTGTTGCCTTGTTTTATATCTCTGAATTGTTGATAAGTTGGAGTAAAGTGGATTGGACACTTGAAGTAAACACCAGATTCTCCTGCGGCAGCTGAAAGCTCTGATTGGTTGGAACAATGTGTCATGCGTTTCTATGGAGATGAGGATCAGTATGTCTGTGCCGTAGTCCTGGTTTCATTAAACATAATTCATGACATATTTATTTCACAGATCATTCACTTGATTATTGTTGATCAACATCTGTTTTGCTTAATAATTTTAATCACAAATAAAGTACTTTGATTAAGTAAAGCTTCTTCTTCTCCTTCGGACTCTTCTCCTGGAATGTAAACAGTCTGAGGAACACCCGACCTTGGTTTTTCTACACGGTGTTATTGTGCCCAGGGGGCAGCTGTATGTAGTTGAAAACAATGAACTTCATAACCTTACAACATATATATATATATATATATATATATATAGACACATATTTATATATATATATATATATATATATATATATATATATATATAGACACATATTTATATATATGTCTTATGTAGACTCGTTATATACATTGTCTCCAAGAATGATGTGCCTGCCTGCTTCAGGACGTCCACCATAGTCCCTGTCCCCAAAAAGCCAAGGATCACTGGACTCAATGACCACAGACCTGTGGCTCTGACATCTGTGGTCATGAAGTAATTTGAGCACTTGGTTCTCCCCCACCTCAAGACCCTCACAACCCACCTCCTGGACCCCCTGCAGTTCACCTTCAGAGCCAACAGGTCTGCAGATGATGCCATCAACATGGCTCTAAACTTCATCATGCAGCTTATGAACTCCCTGGGTACCTATGCAAGGATCCTGTTTGTGACCTTTAGCTCTGCCTTCATCACAATCCTCCCAGACCTCCTCCAAGTGAAAGTTTCCCAGATGAACCTGCTTGACTCCATCTGCAGTTTGAACACTGACTTCCTGATGGACAGGAAGCAGCAAGTCAGGCTGGGGAAGAAAGAAAGAAAACAATTTTTTATTCAGCGCCTCTCAAGGTAACAATCATGACGTGCTTCACAAAAGCAAAACATTTACAATAAAAAAGTCTGTCACAACACAACCTGTCCTGTCTCCCCACTCTGTTCAGTCCTGTGTCTCTCCTAATTGCTCCCACCTGCATCTCGTCTCCCAATCACTTTAGATCCCAGCTCCTCATGTATTTACCCCCCCCCCTTCCCCCCCAGTTCTTATCGTCCGTTTAATGTTATTTCAATTCAATTCCAGAGTTTAATGTAACATACCTGGTGATTAAAGGGTAGTTTGATCCATGATTTGACTCCATGACCTACTTTTGTGTTTGTAAACATGACGGTATAAGGTTAAACTGTGATTTAGTACATGACTGAGGAAGTGGAAAATGTGCATGTATTATAAAACTCAGGTTTAATGTATGTTGTTCTGTGTTTTTGGTTAAAATATAATTTAGTCATGCTTGTTCTAAGTAACTGGAGTACATTCCCAGTGAATATGTTACAACAGGTAGCTAATGACTGAATGAATGTGTTAACTGACTGACTTGTGACAGAGATGGAGATGCAAACTAGCTTTGGTTTCAGGAGATGTTAACTTTTTCTTGTGTTTATGCATCACTTAAGTACTGTGTAGCAACATCTGACTTGGAGCATGGGATTACAAACTCAGGAATGTTGTGGTGTCCGAATAAAAGACTGCAGCATGAAGTCAGCTGATCACCTCTAGCTGATGGAAGTGTTTCTGTGGCAGTACGTGTTTTCATGCTGTCCAGATCCTTATGGAGCAGACTGATTCAGCTGAGGGACACGATGGATCAGTCACAGTCCTGAAGTGGCAGCAGGTCTTATTTTACTAACAGTAACAAAGCAGGGGAGTGGATTAGGTTTCAGGGCTTTTCCGTTGGCGTTTGAGCAGGATGCATCAGAGACCAAGGCGTTTGTCAGAGAGCATCAGCTCCAGACAACAGGAAGTCTGTAACAAAGGGTTTCTGCTGACCTTATTTGGGAGCTCCGATCGTCACGAGGACGGCTGAATATCTCCTTTGGTTCTGGGAAGAACTAACATCAAAAGTAAAGTTTCCCTGGCCTGGTTGTGATGGTTTCCAGTGATGGTTTTGGTTGCTACTGGATTGTCTCCTTTGAGGTGTTAGGGTGGTTAGCAAACAACGTTAGGCGCATTAGCGCCACCTACAAATCTAGAGTCCCTCTCACCCACAGGTGTCAAACTCTGGTCCTCAAGGGCCACCATCCCACAGGTTTTAGTGTTTTCGCTATTTCAGCACACCTGATTTCAATCAGCAGGTGATTAACAGGCTTCTGAAGAGCCTGATGAGCTGCTGCACAGGTGATTCAACTGTTGAAACATGGAAAAAACAAAAAGATGCAGATCCATCACATCTGCTTCAACCTCTCCTAAAATCCTACTCCCCACCAGAGTGCTACCCACAAATCTCAACACTACTTGCTTCCTTTGATTAACATTCTGTCTGCAGCCACCCCCCACCCCCCACATCCTCAACTCCTTCTCCAGCTGTCTCATGTCCCTCTCATGTCTCCATCTCAGCAACATGTGCCTCACTGCCTCCATTCTCTCCTCAGTGTTCACATTCCCCAGTTTGATTTCCCTGCTGTTAACGTTGTATGATCCAAACTAAACCTGGTTCCTTAAACCTCCCACACTCCCCTCCATACATCTTACATCCATCTTCTAAAAACACGTTTGTGAGACAAAGGGCCAGAGGGACAATCTGGAATGAAGCAATCACAGATTATGATGGAACAATTATCGTCTGAGAAAAAAAAACTTTTATTCACCAACAACATGGATGTAGGTTAATAAAATCAATGATACATGGAAAATAAGAATATTGAAAAGGTGTGTTCGACTGGATTTGGATTGAAAAATTTGTGAAAAATTGTGCACTGAGATGTATTATGCTGTTGAACTTTAAAAATAGTTATTTTATGAAAGAAAAGTAAATTTTACAGAACTAATCCAGTTCTTTCAGTATTGAAAGAAAATGAAAATAAGTCCAGTCATCTTGTGTGTTGAAAGTAAACATAAAGAAACACGTTTTTTTTTTTTTACATCATCCATCCATCCATCAATTATTTTCTGCTTATCCGGAGTTGGGTTGCAGGGGCAGCAGCCTAAGCAGAGACCCAGGTTTCCCTCTCCCCATCCACTTGGGCCAGCTCCTCTGGGGGAATCCCAAGGATTTTCCTGGCCAGCCAAAAAGCATAGCCCCTCCAGCGTGTCCTGGGTCTTCCCTTGGGTCTCCTCCTGGCAGGAGGTACTTGAAAAACCTCAACAGGGAGGCATCCAGCAGGCATCCTAACTAGATGCCTGAGACACCTCAACTCGCTCCTCTCAATGTGGGGGAGCAGCAGATCTACCCTGAGCCCCTCCCAGATGACAGAGTTTCTGACCCTATCTCTATGGGAGAGCCCAGCCACCCTGCGGAGAAAACTCATTTTGGCCGCTTGTACCCACGATCTCGTTCTTTCTGTCACTACCCAAAGCTCGTGACGATAGGTGAGGTTAGGAACGTAGATCAGCCAGTAAATCAAGAGCTTCTGACTCAGCTCTTTCTTCTTTACAACAGTTTTTAGAGGGTTGTTGTTAGCCTGATTTTCTATAAGGTATGTTGTTGTAAAGTCTCTGTACAGCTCTGTATTATTTTCTGGGCTGACGAAGGGCAAAAAGTGTCCAACCTGAAATATTTATAAAATAGTGTCTTGTGATAACATCTGTTTGTCGGCTGCCATGTTTTTCCTCCCTGTGACACTGTTTTTGTTTAGAGCAAAAGTCTTGTAACAGCTGATGGCTTGTTTTACGTGGGGGGATAGGCTCAGCCTACCAACTGTGCAAACAACCTGTTTGAGGGTGTGGATCAGCAGTAACATAAATGACAGATCTTCCTGAATGGTCCTTACCGCTCTGTGGTTGTCTTCTCACCACCATGGACTTTGACACAGAGAGCATAGAATATGCTAAACAGTTTCCTGTGGAGGACACTGATGTGTTTGTTGCGACTTTTCCAAAGTCAGGTAAATAAATTTTGTTACTTATGCCAGTTTATAACTATTGTTCTCTTTCATAGAGGTTTCACCCTTTAAGTCCTGCTATTAAGTTAATTCCTGATATTACAGCCATTAACTGAAAAATGCCTGCTTACTGGGCGGGCCACAGTCCGGTATAATATGGACTCACAACCACAAACATCTGCCATTTCTCTTCACCCAACTATTTCAGTAGGAGTTAAACTTTAAATGTTTTCTGTGTTAGCTTGCTGACACATATACTAATATGGGCTGCATGGTGGTGCAGTTGTTAGCACTGTTGCCTCGCAGCACGAAGGTTGCAGGCTCGAAACTCGGCTGCGGCCTTTCTGCGTGGAGTTGTGTGTTCTCCCCATGCATGTGTGGGTTTCCTCTGGGTACTCCGGTTTCCCCCACAGATCACAACATGCCCTATAGGTTATAAATTGTAAGCCGCTTTGGATAAAAGTGTCTGCCAAATAAATAAACATAAACATAAACTAATTTACAATGAATTTAAACACCAGAGTTTACTATTGTAGGGTGACCTGCATGCCTCGGCACTTGGTCTGCCTCACTGGTAAGTGTTTGAGTGCGTCATAAATCATTAAGATGTATCTACATGTTACAACCCAGTGGTCTAGGGGACCTGGGATAACATGGCGGGCATGTGACACAGGCAAAACAAGTATAAAAACAAACATTTATTTAACAAAACGTTCTTCTGACGTCAGGCTTAAACTTGAACTGAAACAGAAAATACAAGGAGCTGAATTGGCGACAACATAAAGAATACACATTAACAAACACTTATTGACTCATTAAATGGCACCACTGTATCCAAACTAAGACCAAAGATTAAACTCTAATCAGGGACTCTCTTGCAAACTCTAGAGGTTTTAAGCAGGACCTCACCTGCCTTTCTAATAGGGGACTCCCCCACTTCAGACAACCACACACACTAACCAGACACTAAATACTATGACACAAAACTCATATCGGCTACACGGTTGTTAAAATGTAAGCTGAGGAGACATCAGGCCAGAGACATGAGTCTCTAGTCTACTGCCCCCTGAGGAGTTGTTCCAGGAGTCCTTTTGAGCTGTATGTCCTCCATCAGCTGCTGATTATGATTCTCTTCAGCTGGGTGTTTCAGGGCTGAGCCAGGTAGTGCAGAAGACAGGTGCTGCAGAGTAGCTCTCCTCAGCACAAGAGGAGGAAAACAGGTGGCAGAGAAACATAAAATAGGAAAGAAACGGCAGTGGCCATAACTGTATATACATATACATAAATATATATATATACAGTTGTGGTCAGAAGTTTACATACACTTGTAAAAAATATAATATAATGGCTCTACTGAGTGTCCCGTTATTTCTAAAACTCTGATTTTTCTCTGATAGAGTGATTGGAACAGATACTTCTTTGTCACAAAAAACATTCATGAAGTTTGGTTCTTTAATGTCTTTATTATGGGTTAACAGAGAAAAGTGATCACATTTGCTGGATCACAAATATACATACAGCAACATGAACTAGCAATTTTGGTCACTTAGAAACGTGTCAGTGAACTGAGCTTCATAGCATGGCCTCTTAACTTCTTGTGAGTGATTATGAGTGACTACAGCGGGTGACTTCTCTTAGGCCAGGTAAATAGGGCTCATCGGATACAAACGCCCACAAATGCTACAATGGGAAAGTCAAAGGAGCTCAGCATGGATCTGAAAAAGCGAATTATTGACTTGAACAAGTCAGGAAAGTCACTTGGGGCCATTTCAAAGCAGCTGCAGGTCCCAAGAGCAACAGTGCAATTAATTGTTTGTAAGTATAAGGTGCATGGCACTGTTTCATCACTGCCAAGATCAGGAAGAAAACGCAAGCTATCACCTGCTGCTGAGAGAAAATTGGTCAGGAGGGTAAAGAGTGAACCAAGAATCACCAAAAAGCAGATCTGCCAAGAATTAGAAGCTGCTGGAACACAGGTGTCAGTCCACAGTCAAACGTGTTTTGCATCTCCATGGACTGAGAGGCTGCCGTGCAAGAAGGAAGCCCTTGCTCCAAAAGCGGCACCTTAAGGCTCGACTGAAGTTTGCTGCTGATCACATGGACAAAGATAAGACCTTCTGGAGGAAAGTTCTGTGGTCAGACGAAACGAAAATCGAGCTTTTTGGCCACAATGCCCAGCAATAAGTTTGGAGGAGAAAAGGTGAGGCCTTTAACCCCAAGAACACCATGCCTACAGTCAAGCATGGTGGTGGGAATATTATGCTGTGGGGCTGTTTTGCTGCCAATGGAACTGGTGCTTTACAGAGAGTAAATGGGATAATGAAGAAGGAGGATTACCTTCACATTCTTCAACATAACCTAAAATCATCAGTACGAAGGTTGGGTCTTGGGCGCAGTTGGGTGTTCCAACAGGACAGTGACCCCAAACACACATCAAAAGTGGTAAAGGAATGGCTAAATCAGGCTAGAATAAGGGTTTTAGAATGGCCTTCCCAAAGTCCTGACTTAAACCCCATTGAAAACATGTGGACAGTGCTGAAGAAACAAGTCCATGACAGAAAGCCATCAAATTTAACTGAACTTCACCAATTCTGTCAAGAGGAGTGGTCAAAGATTCAACCAGAAGCTTGCCAGAAGCTTGTGGATGGCTACCAAAAGCGCCTAATTGAAGTTAAAATGGCTAAGGGACATGTAACCAAATATTAGCACTGCTGTATGTATA